CTTCACAACTTCTTTCTTATGTTTCCTTCTCTCACCTAGCCACCACTCTCCTTTAGGTCCTCATCACCTCTTGTTGGAATTATTGCAAATAGCTTAATTAGTCCACCTGCCTAATGTCCCCATTCCAATCTAACCTCCACTCGACAAAGGTATTTAACAAAGTGATTTTCCTAAAGCATGGGTTTATCTGTGTCACCTTCCTACTTAATAAACTGCTGGCTCACTATCCCTTATAAGAGCAAATATAAAATCTTCTGCTTGTCATTTAAAGGTCTGACCCCTTCCTACTTTTTCAGTCTCCTTAGAGTTTACTCCTCTTCCAACACACTCTGTTGTTTGTCCTTCATTCTTGAAGAGTATCATGACATTATGGAGGTGATGCCAGGATATGCAAGCCAGTTGGATCTAAGTGAGGGAGGGCTGTGCAAAGTCACCAGTCTCACTTTCTCCTCCAGAGCCATCTGGGTCCAGTGGCCAGATACATACCAGGACAACTGGAGATGGCCACCTCCACACACTCTAAGATACAACTCTATTGCCAGGTTGGCTACTCCTCACACACAACTCTCCAATTCCCATTTCCCAGCATTGGCTGTCCCCCATGCCTGGAATTCTCTCCCTCCTCACCTCCCCCTCTTAGAATCCCTGACTTCTGTCAAGACTCAGATAAAACCCCACCTTCTGGAGGAGGCCTTTGCCAGTCCTCCCAACTTGTCAGAGCATTCTTCCCTAAGATCAACTTCTGTCTACTCTCTGTATATCTTATATGTACCTATTTATTTACATGTTGTCTTGTCCATTAGGGGAGCATGAGGCAGAGGCTGTTTTTGCCTTTCCTTGTAGCCAGTGTTTAGTACAATGCTAGATAAGTAGTAATAAGTAACACAGCAATAAGTAATAAAATTGCTTGTTAATTCATGTGAACCTCTAGAAAGTTATATATCATTGATAAATGCATCCATTTAATTCATTATACAAATTCACTTACAAGCTTATTATGAAATGTGATGTTAAAGGATTTTAAAATATTTAGATGAAAATGGTTAATAATAAAAGACATGGAAATATGAAGAATTGCCACAAATTAAAATATGAAAGCATAATATATTTGCTAAAACAGATTTTGCTTGTATTAGTTTAGCAATTTCAATCAAACTACCAAATATTTTTGCTTCATAGTAATAATAACAAACACTCATATAGCACTTACTATGTGCTGAGCAAGGTACTAAACGCTTTTCAATTTTTATCTCATTTTATCCTCACAACACCCCTGGGGGGTAGGTGATATTATTATCCCTATCTAACAGATGAGGCAAATGGAAGTTATGTGACTTGCCCAGGCTCACACAGATAGTAAGTGTCAACTATGTGCAAGACATCAAGAGTAAATTCCACTAGGATAGAAAAATTTTAATCAAGATATAATCTGTGTTTCCAAAAGGCTTACAATTTCGTTTTGGGAAACAACTGAAGAAAGCATGAAAGGTATTTAACAATATTATCTTTAAATAGCAGTTCAAGACAATTAGCAAATATGTTCCAAGCAAATAGAAGGAGAGGGACCAGACCCTTGATTTCATTGGTATAGGGAACTCTAGGTTGGCACCTTCTCTGCAAATCAGGGTTTTCAATGAGAAGGTGAATGACTTGCCTGGGATAACACAGCCAGTATGGGTAGAACTTAAAACTAGGTCCTCCTTGATCCAAAATCAGTTTTCTATCCACTGCACCAAGCTCTCATTGACAAATGAACTAAACGAAATGAGAATTATAAAAGTTTAGAGAAATCAGAGACGACTTCAGTCTGGGGTAGTATTGAAGGACTGTATGAAACAAGACTAATACAAGCTAAATCTCAAGGAACCAGTAGGATTTTTATGCACTCGGAAGACAGAGGGCATTTCATGAGCAAGAGTGGTAAAGGAATAAGACCTCACCTTAAGATGAGGGCTGGGTACAGTGGACAAACTAGTTTGGTTTATGGAGTAGTGGTAGCTAAACCTGGAAAGTCAGGTTGGGATCAGGCTGAAGTTTGGGGAGTCACTGAACATTTTCATGGAGAGGCAATCAATGATTAAAGTAGTATTTTAATAGGATTAGTCATGCTGCAAGGGTGCTAATTGGACAGGAGGGGAGGACTGGAGTCAGGGAGATTAGTTAGGAAATTACTGCAGTAATTAAAGCATGATGTGATAAGGGGCTTGACATGGGGTAACAGCAGTGGGGAAGGTAAGGAAAGATGAATTCAAACATTGCAAAGGAAGACTCAGTCTTTCAAAATGTACTATTGTATATTCCCTTTAGAACAATGTGTTTAGATGACAATCTAAATTATTACATGGGTGTGTTCCTAAAGAAGTGTATTACAGAGATCTTTAAAAAAAAAAAAAAACTACTTCCAGGGAAAGGAAAAAACTATTTTAAGTATTAAGTCATGATCTATGAAATAACTAAGAACAATCTAGATGTTTACATTGAATTTTTTTCTCTTGACCTGGTATACTTAAGGGCAAGAAACCATATCAAAGGAATGCTAACAGTCTACCTGAATTTCTCAAAAGAAGGAAATGAAGGAGTATTTTTAAAGTATAAAACCATATAATTATATTAAAGGTCCAAAACGGTTACTAATTATCCCTTTTTTTTTCTTTTTTGGTTTCTTAAAGTCAATGCAATTTACCAAATTCAACTGGGAAGTTCTAATATTTATCCTCAGACTGTGGTACTGTGCTTTATTCTAAAGTATCAGCAATAATATAAGTGGCTTTTTGGTTTTGAATATTCATGGTGTTAACATATATCTAAAACAGGGAATCAGAGTACCCTGCTGTAAGAATTCCCTAAAAATGAGGAAGGTTTACATTTAGGGTCTTATAATACATAGGTCATATACTTCCTTGTTATTTGGAGCATTATTGCGTATAATTATAGTCACTTTATTAACAACTAAGCCTTTAAATGCCCATAAAACCAAATTCTGTCCTTATCTCTCATAGAAATGCAATCAATAGTCTATTGCCCTTCTGGGATACTTAAGGCCAGTACAATCTATTCTTGTAACACTTAACAGTGATGGTGACTGATGGACAGCCTTCCCATCTCCTCCCCAGCACAGGGCAGCACCATGTCCAATCCTTTTCCAGGGTCCTGATCTATTTTAAGACTCTCTCCAGTTAAGGAGGAAGATGGGCATGCACTTAAGCTTGACACAGGTTTGTAGTTACCTTAGGGTGGTTGCTCCAGTGGTAGGAGGCAGGCTGGTAAATCTCAGGGCAGGGTTAAACAAATGCAGAATAAACAAATCACTCCCTAATGCTGCCCTCTTGCAGGTCAGGTTTGGGCCTGAAGCAATTTTTATGGCTTAATTGAAGAAACGGAAAAGCTTTATGTCTGAGAAGTGACCTTACAATATTTAACAGACATTGTTTATTGCATCTGTACTGCATGCTTGTAGAACTAAGCACTCCAATTTGGTTGTAAAAACCAATTCCTCTACTAGTGAAGAATTTGGGTTCCGTCCAGGTGCCAGATTTCAGTGTAGGAGTACAATTTCTTATTCTTACAATGTGGGCATACATGTGAACATATATATACATATATGTGTGTATATACATATATTTGCTCATTATCCAGCATTTCTATATATATGGAATTAAAAAATATTTGCCTATAATCAAGGCTATATAGTTTCAGATTCACGTTTTTCTTCCTTGCGTTTTGATATTTACCTTTACCTAGTTAACTAAAGCTAGTTGTTTTGCTTCTGCTGCTTTTGGGTGTTGGTGACAATACCTACCCTGCCTTCAGAAGGGTTAACAACTGGCTAATTTGAAACACGTTCTTTTGCCAATTCAAAAGTCATTGGTATACTTCTTTAAATGCTTTGGGATTTTAATCCTCTTGAGTATTTACATATTTTCTCTTCTCATCCTTACAAAACTAATCCCGGAGTTTTAAGAATCTGGGAACTTGGGCAAACGAGAAAACAACTGATCAAACTGAGAAATCAGAAGTCTCTGTTCATTACGTCAACCCAATCTGACAGTACTTTTTTTGTTTGTATTGAACCAACTAGAATAATAAATCATGTGAGTAACAAAACAAAATACAGGTGTTATTATTGAGTGTGAAAGGTTTGAAATGTAATTAAACACGTTCTTTTTTGTTGAAGTGTCATTTACTTTGTACGTTAACATTTGTGTTTCCTTAAACCTCTCTTTATATTATCAACACACATAGTTGCATCATACTTACACATTCATTAGCTGGGATTTGGGTGTGTGTGTTTTTCCAACTAGTCTCCATCGTTAGATGCACAACCTTCGCTTCTTTTATGTAACTACTGCACTGGAATAACACGAGCTTCTTAGAAGAATAGCTCCCAGAAAGTGTTCCTGACAGATGTATGGTTATCCCCACCTCCCCCATGTAACACGTAGCACTGCTTCAAAGTTTCTCTCTAACAAATAAGACTCTTCTCTGATCCCCTGAACTGCGGCAGGTCTGAGGCTGGCCCTGTCTCATCTGACCAGGGGACGTTTTTTATACGTACACCGCCAGGTTTTCCGATCCGAGAATCAGACACACAGCCAAACTCCTCCAACCCGACTTTCCAAACTGCCCTTCTCTTTAAAATGCCTCCGTCTCCTCCCCTCCAAACCGAGCAAGCCCTTTGTAGTGGGGTCGGAGTACAATTTTCCCTCTGCGAGTATCCGAAGCCACGGTCCCCAGTCCCTGGACGCGGGGCTTGAGTTCTGTGCTCTCTTGCCCCCCCCAGGCTCCCCAGAGCCACTTAATTGCCTGTGGGAGGGCAGTAAAGCGGAGGAGGGAGGTGGGGGACAAAATAGGGGCGTGCCTTGGCCCCTGATTGGCTATAGGATACTGACGCGAGGCCTCCAGGGCTGTGTTGGGGGGAGCTAACTGTGGGTTAGGGTGGGGTGCTGGGTGCAGGAGCTGCCAGACCAGAGCGCTCAGAAACATGCTGAAGTCTCAGCAGCGACTGCAGCTACAGCAGCAACCTGGGAGAGGAGGGAGGCAGCAGCAGGCGCGGCTCCTGCGGGGAAGGCACCCGGCGCGGACGTGTCCGGCTCCGCGCTGCTGCAGACAGCTGTCTTGACCTGGCCCTGACTTGACCCCTTTCGCCGTCCCCTCCCACCCTTAGGCTCTTCGAGTTCCTCAAACTACGGTCCTACTCCGTCCCCACTCCACGTCTTCAGTTACTTCCTCCTCACAATGGGAAATGGGGCGCTCGGCTTAGGCTACGAGCCCTACAACCTGTCATCTCCTTCGCCGGCCCCAGACGGGGCGGGCGGAGAGGCAGCGACAGCGGCAGCAACTGCAGCAGCAGCCACGGCCGCCCGGCTGCTGGTGCCCGCCTCTCCTGCCTCCTCTCTGCTGACCTCGACGACTCCAGCGCCCGTGGCCCTGTCACAGCAGTGGACGGCAGGCATGGGCATGCTCATGGCCCTGATCGTGCTGCTCATCGTGGTGGGCAACGTACTGGTGATCGTAGCCATTGCCAAGACGCAGCGTCTGCAGACGCTCACCAACCTCTTCATCATCTCCCTGGCCAGCGCCGACCTGGTCATGGGGCTGCTTGTGGTGCCTTTCGGGGCCACCATCGTGGTGTGGGGCCGGTGGGAGTACGGCTCCTTCTTCTGCGAATTCTGGACGTCGGTGGACGTTCTGTGTGTCACCGCCAGCATCGAGACGCTGTGTGTCATCGCCCTGGACCGTTATATCGCCATCACGTCTCCGTTCCGCTACCAGAGCCTGCTGACTCGGCCGCGGGCGCGGGCGCTCGTGTGCACCGTGTGGGCCATCTCGGCTCTCGTGTCCTTCTTGCCCATCCTCATGCACTGGTGGCGGGCGGACGGCGACGAAGCGCGGCTCTGCTACAACGACCCCAAGTGCTGCGACTTTGTCACCAACCGAGCGTACGCCATCGCCTCCTCCGTGGTTTCCTTCTACGTGCCGCTGTCCATCATGGCCTTCGTCTACCTGCGTGTCTTCCGCGAGGCCCAAAAGCAGGTGAAGAAGATCGACCGCTGCGAGCGGCGCTTCTACAGCGGCCCCCGCCCGCCGCCCTCGCCCTCGCAGCCGCAGCCGCCGCAGACCCATGCGCCCCATCAGCCGCCCCCCGCGCCCGCACTGCCGCCCTCGCGCGCGGCTGTGGCCAACGGGCGCCCCAGCAAGCGGCGGCCGTCGCGCCTCGTGGCTCTCAAGGAGCAGAAGGCTCTCAAGACGCTGGGCATCATCATGGGCGTGTTCACCCTCTGCTGGCTTCCCTTCTTCCTCGCCAACGTGGTGAAGGTCTTCCACCGAGACCTGGTGCCCAACTGGCTCTTCGTCTTCTTCAACTGGTTGGGCTACGCCAACTCGGCCTTCAACCCTATCATCTACTGCCGCAGCCCGGACTTCCGCAAGGCCTTCAAGCGGCTCCTGTGCTGCCCGCGGCAGGCAGAGAGGCGCCTCCACGCCAGCGTCGGGGAGCTGTCGCGCGGGGGCTCCGGGGCAGCCACGGCTGGAGGCTGCGGCACCTCTGCCGCGGGCTGTGCCACCCCGTCTCCCGCGGCCGCCTATGCGGAGCAGGGCGAGCTGCTTCCCTCGTCGCCTCACTACCTGGAGCCCTGGGCCGGCTGCAACGGCGGGGCGACCGGGGACAGCGACTCCAGTCTGGAGGACAGGGACAGCAAAGACTCGTATTCGGAATCCAAGGTATAGGACCGGTCGCTGGTGGAGGGGGGAGGGGGCGGCGGTGGTGGAGGCGGGAGCCGGGCTTGTGTTTTTTTTTTTTTACTTTCTGGCGGGGGCGACCGGGCAGGTAGTTTCGAGGTTGGGGGCCGTCGGGGAGGTGTGAGGAATGGGGCTTTCCCCCCACCCCCTCCCCACACCCTCACCCAGGAAACTGGTTTGGAAATCCAAGAGGAAGAAAACCAACAGCCCTGAACTGTCTTCACAGGGAAGAGAGGATCTGTGTTTACTCAAGACCGAAAGCAGGTGATAGTGTATCCTTCATACCTCATCTGAATCATCCACGACAAACAAAAGCAACTCGACCGTTGAACACAAGGAAAGTTGGGGGCGGGGGGGAGGTTGGGATTTTGGACTTTTATTCTTGACTTCTCTGGGGAAGTGGGGCACGATGCCTGTTTCATCTTTTCCAGTCTAATTCTGATCCTTCCTGCAAGGATTGTGAAAGTGTTGGGTAGATAGGTGGGACGGAGAAAAGAATACGGGATTCAGAAAAAAAGAAAAACCATCAACTTGTTTTTTCCAAGAGCTGCACTTAATAATCCTGTTTTTTAAGACTATCAGCTGTTCCCATCCTATTCCTGGGAACTGGACCAGTCAAAGGAAGAGAAAATGAATCTGTGGACAGTTTGACAGAACAGATTTTTTGTTGTTGTTTTTTAGTTCCATGAAAGTTTTTTGTCATTATTATTTGAAAGTCTGAGTAGTAACATCTTTAAACAAAGCAGAGGGGAAAGGATGTAAAAATCATTTTCACCTTTTAAAAGAGTTTTATTTAGAACAAACAACCTGACTTTCCTTTTGCACGGCAAACCTAGCGTCTTGGCAATGGTGATGAGGCAGAGGGGTTCCTACCTCAAACTGTGCATATTGCACAGGGATTTTTTTTTAAAAGATATGTTTATATTAAACAGATTATTTATGTATCAATATTAGTTTGAAGGACCAGGCACGAGCCTCTGTGACACGTGACTCTGTCACAATTTGAAGAGAGGAAACAGTCTTAGTGTCAAGAAAAATTACTGCACATTTGAAAAAAGAAAATAAAAAAGAGTGGTTCAAAATGCCTTTTTGCACAGTGTTAGAAATTGTAAAATCCACTGAAGATATTACTTGCACACACACACACACACACACACACACACACAAATTTTAATGAGGGGAGGAGAGGGAGTTGAAAATAACCTGAAATCCAAACTCTACTTTTTTGTCTGTTATGTTACTGAGTTAATGTTTCATTGGAAAAAATAATTACTTTTTATACTATTTTATCATGGTACTGTAACTGTATCCATACTAAAAATTTAAATATAATTTTTTTTATTATTTTTGTATGTCCAAGTGCTCACGTGAATCTGCTGTTAATTTAGCACTTGTGTGTCATTTCTATTTCCTCCTGTGTATTTTATAAAGTATTTATACTCTGGTGCAACTAACTACTGTGTAAGTAAATGGTCTATGTGCAATAAATACAAATGCAGCACAATCAAGATATGTACAGTGTGTCTGTAAGGGTTTGGAAACAATTTCCAGCTGTAATGAAAAGACTAGCATTTGTTTTGCTTGCAATAGGGATTGGATTTCCAATGCAACTATTCATAATAGCCTTTCTTGACACAAAAGCTTGGCAAAATGTGGTCTAGACCAAATAAAGCTATATTCCTATTGAAAGCTTCTAATTTTCCTCCAAAATTCATAGGCAGATTCAAAGGCATTTCCAAACCATTTCTCAAACAGCAAGCTCCCATATGCTGGCTGTACTTGCCTTTCTTAAAAGGTAACATTTTGGATTATGTAGAGAAATATAATTTTACCTTCAAAATACAATCTTCAGAACAACAGGTAAAACAACTGCTACTTTGCACAAAAGAAATAGGGCAGACTATATGTAGATTGAATAATTTGTTACCTGCTTTAAATGAAATCAGTAATTCCTTGGTTTTCTAATACGTAGCCTATAAAGTTCAGTGTATAGTATGTATATTTCTCTAACGGCTATTTTGAATGTAAAATGCTTCCATGGTCAAATGATTATTTATAAAAATATTTTCCATTCAAGTGGTTTTTTCCCCATTTATTTATCTAATCAACCCTTGCAGCAATGTTTCAGATGGATAGATAAAACCTATTTGACAGATAATACAAGGGGTCCATGCACTAAGAATTTTCGGACACCCTATGTGGCATTTATGGGATTTTACATAAATGGGGGCAGGAGGAGGGGTTGGCCTTATTTAATAGCTTCATAACATGTAAAAGTATCCAGAATATTTTTGTAATTTGTTTCTAGTGAAAGTATTGTGAAATTCCTCCCAGTGAAGGATTGTCCTACAAAATAACGATTCCTGCTTTTGTACTTCTAAGAGCTTTTCTTCTATAATTTTATGATAAGCAAGCCAAAGTTCCATCTATCAACTTTTAGTATATGCTAAGTGTTAACTCATGTGTCTCTGTGTCTATTATGATAAGTCAGGATAGAATACCGTTCTTTTGGTGGGATGTTTAAATAACCTGTACTTACATTGAATTAAGATAAATATTAACTTTTTAGCGAACAGTAATAGGTCGCATGAACAGTAGCATGGTAGCATGGGCTTCCACAGTTACACAGAAGCTGTTACAAAGTTTAAAACTCTCCACCAATACTGAGACAGCAAAATAAATACAGTCCTTAAAAAAAAAAATTAGGTGAGACAGTTTAAAACAGTTCTATTCCCTCCCTTCCTTATCTGCTGTTAGTCTAGAATATTAGTAGCCATGTAACCATTTTGCCTAGTAGACCTTGTGGCAGCAAACAGATGCTTTGCTTTCCTGATCCACTCAGTTTAAACTTCCCATTTAAGTAAGAAATTTCCCTGAATAAAAACGGAATAAATAGGCCCTTAATATCCAGAGACTTGGAGAGCTTAGAAAGTTTACTGAATTTTTACAACAAATAAGCAAAAGTAGTCAATTATTTAACATTACTTATTAATAAAAGTTAGTAACTCTTTCCCAGAGAAAATACTATAATTTTTAGCTAATTTTATACTTATTCAGGACCAAGAAGATTCTGAGTTCAACAGGTTTCTCACGGTTTTTCTGAGCAGATGATTATATCTACTCAGGGCTGTGGTAATGATTCCAAATATCCATGAAAACTATTCCTTCTGTCTTCTTTCTCTCTCTCTTCACTCTGTGTCTTCCTCTCTTTTTCTCTGTCTCTTTCTCTCTGCATCTCTTCTTTCTGCATCTTTATGGCGCTGTCTCTTTCTGTCTTTCTGTATCTTTCTATCTCTTTCTCTTGAAGCAAAACAGACATAGATTAACAATGGAAGACAGACTGCCAAACATGTTTACCCTGTTAAGATACTGCATAATGGAGTGAAAGGAAAAGAGAATATGACAGAGTAGAAAAATACAACAAATATGCAGAAAGCCCCCATGTTAAGTGTGTGTTTGTGTATAGTATACACATTTGCTTTTCTTGGGTGCTATGAATATAAATTTTAATGATCAAAAAAGAGGATAATGTGTCCAATAACACACCATGCTACATTTGCAAGTGATGTTTAAGTATAGCACTAGAAGGTTCCGTTAATATAATGATCATTACCTTTAAATATATATTGATGTTCCCAACAGTATGAAAATTGTGGGTTTAATGGTGTGTGTAGAGAACAAGAATTTCAGCTTTAACCTTTGATGAACTTGACTTCTTTTATTAATGGTATTTTATGTGAGTGTTGGAAAAAAAAAAACAAACAAGTTTGCAACCAGGTTTTGGTCCACACTTCTGAAACTGAAATTTTATTAATAACTACTAAGTGGCTATTGTGAAGGCCCTTCCTTGGTAAGCACACTTTCCTAAATTTATTTTCATTTCCTATTTTTGTTGAATGTGTTGACTTCCTCCCACCAATATGTAAAATTACAGTGATGCAAATTCTGCACCCAAAGTATCAGCACAGTCTTAGAACCCAAATTTGAACAAGAACCTTATAAGAAGTAAGGGTTCAAATGCAGATCATCTACAATCACCATGCTCAGTTTCCAGCAGCACTTTTGAACAAAGTTGGGCCTCTTAGTTCTCCTGAATATGGAGGGGAAAAGCCTCAAAAACCAGTAAATTTCAATTAACCATACTGGCTCAGAATAATGAAGTTTTAGTTGATAGGATAATGTGCTGAGAAATACTAATTCTTTTGAATCCCAGCCAAATTTATACTAATCAGAATGGAGAAGACATGCAGTGTTTGGATTATACCTAAAAATAGTCTCACTACAGTCACATTAGCAAATGGAATTAAATTAATTCCTCTTTCCCTTCTCTTCACACACACACACTCTCTCTCACTCTCTCTCTCTCTCTCTCTCTCTCCCTCTCTCTCTCTCTCTCTCTCTCTCTCTCTCTACATTATTTCAATTTTAGTACAGAAAGTCACTCCTGAAACTTGTTCTTTTGTGTCACAAATAGCAAGGTAATATGTTGCAGTGATTTCAAGCAAACTATATAAAAAATTATCTTGGGCCTGTGTGTGTGTGCCTACTGATTCCCATTCTTACCCTACTGATGGTTCCATATATAGTAGTTATATAGTATATGTAGTAAAACAATAGAAATAAGGATTACTTAATTTACAAGTATTACTTTAATGTTTTTACATTGTGAGGATGGATAAATATGAAGAAATGGATTCAAAATCCATGAGCAGTTATGGATTTTTTTTTAAACTGGAATGGTAGAGTCACATAAAGGGAAGAAAACCCACCAACAAATAAGTCAGTACTATAAGCCATCATAGTCTACCTCCCCATCATTTCCTATATTCTTCCATCCCTTCCTTTCTCTCCACCCATACTGCCACCTTCTCTTTCTAGTCATCACCTTTCACCTAAATTATTTGATCCAGCTGCCAGCCTCCCCTCACCCCAAACCATCCCCCTTACAGCTGCTAAAATAATCTTCCTAAAACACAAGTCTGACCATGTCACTCCTGTACTTAAGGAGTTTTCTTGACTCTTTATTGACTATAGGATAAAATGCTAACTCCCTAATTGAGTATTTAAAACACTTCACAAACTTAAGCCAGCCTGCCTTTGCAGGCATTTGTACATGACTCCCCTTCAAGCACTGTCCATTCTAGACAAATTGGTTTACTTGATGTATCTCAAACTCAACTTTATCTTTTCAGCCTCCAATCCATTTTGTCAAGTTGTCCCTGCCTGGAATATACTTCCTCCACAGCTCTGCCCATTTAAAATCTCTCACTTTCTTCTGGGCTCAGCTTATCTGGCACCTTCCTGATTCCCCTAATTGTTAGTGCTCAATTCTTCCTGTAATTATCATATATTTGCATACTTGTTTATATGTTATTTCTCCTAATAGAATGTAAGCCCCCGAGGGCAAGGCAGCACCTTGTACTGGATGGAGAGCTGGCCTTTGGGCCAAGAAGAATGCAGTTCAAGTTCAGCCTCTGACACGTGTTGTGTGACCCTGGGCAAAAAAACTTGACCACTATGTGTTATAGTCAACTCCTTAAGACTATAAATTGTAGAGAATGTACTGGCTTGCCTCAGTAGAAGGAGTTTCCTCTTTTGGGAGTTCTCTATCATCTTTATATCCAGTTCTTAGACCAGTGTCTAACACATAGTAGGTGCGTAATAAATGTTTGTTGGGGGCAGCAAGGTGGCACAGTGGACAGAACACAGGCCTTGGAGTCAGGAGGACCTGAGTTCAAATCCAGCCTTAGATACATAACACTTACTAGCTGTGTGATCCTGGGCAAGTCACTTAACCCCATTGCCTGGCAAAAAATAAAATAAAATAAAATAAATGTTTGTTGGTTTGGATAAGTAATTTCCCCCCAGCAACATTAACTGTGTGAAAGAAAGAGAAGGAAAGAAAAAATGCTCACTGCCTGCATCCCTTTGAACAACCTCACCTTTGATTGCATGTTGAACAAAGAAAATCTGAATAACTCTAAACACTCACTCCCTGAATAAACTTTTATTCCTTGTATTCATTTCATTTTACTCTCCAAATGAACTAGAAAATGACACCTGATGTTATCTCTTCAGAGCAGCTTCAGTATCAGCTGTGCCCTTGTTCTGAAGCTGTGATTGCCAATATCTGTTGAGACTTTCACACTCCCCTTCTCCATAGCATTTCTTTTGCTGCCAGCAAGATCTTAAGTATTTCCTTCTTATTTATCTTACTCAATTCGCCTATGATGTACTTGACGTTATTTAGAATGTTTCTTTGTCCTGAGTTGTACTTACTGCTTATTGTTATCAAACAACTGCAAACAAGTAGAAATTTTAAAAGTATCTTGGCTATACTTCTCATAGGACATAGAATAATTCTTCACATTTACTTTAACTCAGTTAATGGGAGTATTTAGGCAAGCTTGCTTTTTCTAACTCTGTCATTTCCTTGTTAGATGACCTTGTGTCAGGAACATCAAAATTCCCTCTTCAACCATTTGTTAATTCAAGGCATTGTTGAGCCATTGATTTGTGGCAATTGTAAGCATAATTCAGTATAAAAGTTGCAAAAGCAGATGGTCCAATACCATTAAGTGCATTCTAAAAGTTGAATGACAACCTTGCTGAATGACCTTGGGAAAGTCAAACAGTTTCTCTGTGACTAAGGTTTTATATCAACAAAGCATGGTTGATAGCACTTACTTGGGAGTCCTTTGAGATAGATGTTCAGATGAATGCTTTACGTTGCTTTATGATTCCTAGCATTTCAAATGCATTTTCTCGAAACTTCCTCTCCTCCCCCACACAAAACAAAAGCTTCAACTCTTGCTAAAAGGGAAAAGAACAATTTGACAGCAGGTAAAATATACATGTAGCGTGCATTATGCATATAGGCAAACACTTTGTCACTGCACTAAAAATTCCACAGTAACCACAACTGAATAAAATAATCTAACCAAACATAGGATTAAGAAATCTGTTTGCTATGCTCTGGCCGAAAGGATTATTTGATAATTTTTATAACTACAGCCACTTTAACCAAGGCAAAGTAAGGAATTCAACACATTAACCAACTTCCTGAGAGAGGGCTG